GGGACCTGAACCTGTTCAGCCTCCACAACAGAAGGCTGAGGGGGGATCTAGTGGCCTGCTACAAACTAGTCAGGGGGGACCAGCAGGCATTGGGGGAGTCACTGTTCCCCCGAGCACTACCAGGAGTGACAAGAAAAAGTGGTCACAAGCTGGCAGAGGATAGATTCAGATTAGACATCAGGAGGCGCTACTTCACGGTCAGGGCGGCTAGGATCTGGAACCAACTTCCAAGAGAAGTGGTGCTGGCTCCTACCCTGGGGGTCTTCAGGACAAGGCTAGACAATCACCTTGCTGGGGTCGTTTGACCCTAGTACTCTTTCCTGGCATGGCAGGGGGTCGGACTTGATGATCTGCTCAGGTCGCTTCTGACCCTACTAACTATGAAACTATGGAACTTTGGCCATTAAATATTGGAAGGTCACTGGGGCTCCATAAAGACCAATAGATAAAGTCTTGAAGTGGTAGAGTCCCGAGGGTGTTGCAAAGGCTGTGATTTTCTGAGACACTGGATCCAAAGAAATTTGCCAATATCCTTTGGTCGAGTCCAGGGTGGTTTGCATGCACGCATGCACGCACACACACACTTTGTGTTACCTATTTCATCTATTCTGGGCATTGGGTATATGTCACATTTTGAAACTGCATTGACTTTGTGGAAGTCAATGCAAAACTGGATGATGGAGCTGGTCATTGACACCAACACAATTGGGCTACTCCACTCTACTCCACTCACTGGTCAATTATTCTATTACCTCAAGTCCAACATCTTAACTTCTTGTTTTACCATTTCTGTAAGTCATGCTGGAATTCTTAAGTGTCCCTTCTGAATTGCACAACCTGGCTTGAGGATAATCCTTTGTTCAGTTAATGCAGTCTAGCCTGGACTTGATGTAAACACCTCTTTAAATTCTTCCAGGAGGTTTTTTATTTCAGGCTGTTGAGTCAGGGTCAAAGTCAATAGCCTGGGCCAGTTATTGGAAATGGGATGGAATCCAGAATCCCCAGGGCAGCTTCCATTAAACACTTAGAGACTAGACAGGCCTCTTATGCTTTCCAGGGCTTTAACAGGTTAATGTAATATACTTATGAACCCTACCATTTCCCTACTAGACAAACTTCATAAATCACCTGTTCTACCCTCTGCAGGACCTCAAAAGAGCCTTGCCACCTCACCAGTAACTTACTCTTGGAGGAGGGGAGCAATAGTAGGACTCGGTCCCCTAGCTGGTAGATCCACAGCCAAGCATTTTTTATTATATTGCTGCTGCTGCTGCTGTTCCTGTTGGGCTGCTTTGAGATGTTTCCTTGCAAGGGTCCCCACCAGGTCTAATCTTTCCCAAAGCTTCAAAACCTATTGAACTACATTTTGTGTATCTATCCTCTGGGCCTGCCAGGACTCTTGCAGGATGTCTAACATGCCGCCTTCTACACAGTAACTCAAAGGACAAAAAAGCCTGTGGAAGACTGGAACCTCTCATATGGTGAACAACAAGTAGGGTAATGACTGATGCCAATTTTGCAGCTCCTCTGAGACAAATGTCCTCAACATCCCCTTCAGTGTTCAGTCAAACTTTTCAGCCAGGCCATCCATTTGGGGATGATACACTGAAGTTCTTACCAAATGGACCTTAGTAAGTAGTGACCTACTCAATTCGTGATTTTGCAGATTTCATGGAAATTGTGAAATGCAGCATTATTTGTGAAATTGACCAATGTCCATGAAACCTGCCAAAAAAAATCTTA